GAAAGAGCCAGGGTGATGCGGGTGACTGTTTCTTAGTTTGACTGATGGCCATGCAACTTTGGGAGGGAACAAGAGGCTCTCAGAAGAAGCCTTAAAGACCTGGCTGGGCAGTGATTAAGATACCACAAATTATGATTTATTTTCCCCTGCATTTGCATGGCACGAATGTCCCCACGTTTAATAATTCCAACCCTTTTATTCATTCATTGGCCAAATGCTCACTGAATACTAGGGACCCTTGAGTCCTCAGGCCGACGCTCTAGCCACTGAGCCAAACCGGCTAGGGCAACTTTATTTTTTTCCTGTAGTTGGAATATATTAATTTGAGTGCCTCCTTTTTGCCAGGCATAGAACTAGTTACTGGGTATTCGGTGCTAGTGAAACAGATATGGTTCTTGCCCTAATAATGGAGCTTCCGGAAGTGGTGCCAGGCAATAGATAAGTAGATACATACATGTATAACTGTACAAGTGGTTGTCACGGGCATGAGAGCAAAGGAGTGCTTTCAATTAGACAACAGGTGGTCAGGGAACGCCTCTTTGAAGAGGTGACCTGGAGGCTAAGTCAGCCCGGTAAATGGGAGGGACAGCAGAGGGTCCGGGGCCTGCTTCAAGCAAAGCAGGTAGCCCTTGGGAAGACCCCCTGGTGAAAGGCCTCAGAATGTCAAGGCTGAAAGAAGTCCAGTGTCCTGATGGGCGCGTGCTGAGTTTGGCGTGGTTGGCAAAGCCCCAGTTGGTTGTGCAAATAATTGTCACAGATTCCTAGGCGGTAGCTATCATTCCAATTTTATTTTATTTTATTTATTTATTTATTTATTTATTTTTAAATATAAATTTTATTGACTTTTTACAGAGAGGAAGGATGAGGGGTAGAGAGTTAGAAACATCGATGAGAGAGAAACATCGATCAGCTACCTCCTGCACACCTCCTACTGGGGATGTGCCCGCAACCAAGGTACATGCCCTTGACCAGAATCGAACCTGGGACCTTTCAGTCCACAGGCCGATGCTCTATCCACTGAGCCAAATCGGTTAAGGCATATCATTCCATTTTTAAAAGTGGCCACCCAAACCCAGGTGTCATGTGTCTTACTCCAGTCATACAGTTGTTTACATGACAGAGCTGGGATTCAGAACCAGATTTCAGGGTCTAGCCCATCATCATTTACCCTAAGAGGCTCCCTGAGTCACATAACATCTCACACCTGCAATGTACTTTCCAGTTTTTACACTTTCATTATATTCATGCTTTCAACAGCTACTTCCTTTGATTCTCATAATGACTCCAGCAAATATTATCTGTCATCAGGGAAACCAAACCAAGAGAAAGGAGACCTGTCCAGAGTTACTCAGGAAGGTGGGCTAACCAGGTTTGCAATCCCTCCTCCTCCATTTGCTGCTTACAGGGCAGGCGGGGCCTAGCCTCCCCTCTCTGGAATGAAAGAAGGAGACGAGAGGGACGCAGAAATGGTCCCTTTGCTCAGTCTTGGGCCCTTGGCTGTTAACTCTGCTTCGGGTTCCCGTTTTTGTCCTGCTGTGCCCAGAGGCTTGGGTCACATCGCAGCCGCCGGGCTGGTTGGCAGCTGCCAGGCCTTACCCTGGCACATGGGAGCCCAACAGTTGCCACTGGGAGAGTCTTACTCTTCTCCCCGGCCCGTGCCCAGATCTGTTGTCTGGCAGCCTTCCCAGCCCAGGGACTGCCACTTGGCCAAGTAGGTCCTGGAGACTCCAGCAGAGAAAATAGCAGCCATAAGTTTATGGGTTGTGACAAGTCTCACAAACAAGGAAACTCCAGGGCCCTGGGTCTTGGGCCAGGGGACAGCTTCCAACCCGGCCAATTTGGGAGAAGAGGATGGGCAAAGCCAAAGTGGGTGAAACTGCAAGCAAGGAGCCTGGCATTGCACAATAGCGAGTCACTTCTTTCTGTGAGCCTGTTCTCCCATCTGTACAATGGGAGGTTGGGCTAGATTTCGTCTTCACTGATTTGGTTATCTATTTGACATCTACATTTTGGAAACATTGCTTTCAAAGCAAGTATACAATTCTGGGAAACAGAGATGGGGAACATCTGACCTGTGGGCCATATAAGATCCAGGAAATCATTTAGTCTGGCCCTGCCAAGGCATTGGAGTGAGTTAATTAAATGTTTGACCAAATATAGTAGGCTAATTTTTATTTTATTTTTTTAAAATATATTTTATTAATTTTTTACAGAGAGGAAGGGAGAGGGATAGAGAGAAACATCGATGAGAGAGAAACATCGATCAGCTGCCTCCTGCACATCCCCTATTGGGGATGTGCCCACAGCCAAGGTACATGCCCTTGACCCGAATCGAACCTGGGACCCTTCAGTCCGCAGGCCAACGCTCTGTCCACTGAGCCAAACCGGTTAGGGCATAGGCTAATTTTTAAGTTGATAAATTTGTATGGCCCACAAATGATGCTGTAAATATACAAATGGCCTTTGGCAAAAAGAAGGTTCTCCACCGCTGTTGTAGGGGGACATCTTAGTAGCCATTTCCATGGAACAGGCCATCTGGGCACCCACCAGCTTTGGGCATTGTGGCTGCTGGGGGCTGGCTTTTTGCTTCAAGGATCCCTTTAACTCAAGGCTTCCAACCTATGCATGGTGGTCAGTGGCCTGGAGTAAACCCAAAACATCGGTAGACAGACTGCCCCACCAGGGGCATTACCTGCCCTGACCCCCAGGAGGAGACGTGTTGGCTTCACCTTTCCCTGCCCCTCATCCTCTGTCCTGCCATTGTGTTAAAGGGTGGCTGACTAGGGAGGGTAGGAGCTGGAGAGAGCTCCCGTGTGCTTTAAACTGCTTATTATGCATTTCACAGCCTCTCTGGGGCCAGCTGTTCTTTTCTTTGCTCTCGGCCTGTTTGCAGATCCCCTCCCCACTGCCATCTCTCCCCTACAACCCCCCACCCCCACCCCAGTCCCTGTGCAAAATTGCTTTTGAAAAGATCCACTTTCTGCTTAATTAAACAATGAGGAGCGTCCCTTTGCACATCTGTAAACCTCCTTCTGAGGCCAGTTTAGCCCACAAACTGCTCCTTTCTTACCCCCATTCACTTGTAAATGGACCCTCTGATGTTCTCTCTACCCTCTCTTCTCTTTTATTCCCCCCATCTCAGCTCATTCTTTACCCTTTTCAACTAAGGCCTGGGGTGGGCTCCCAGAAGAGCCTTGCTTGGAGCCTAGTAGACTTGGTGGGGACAGGAGTGGTTTAACCTATGGAAGAGAAGACTCGGGGGAGCCAGGATCCATCTCTCCCAAATCTGCAAGGCAGGCATGGGGAGGAGGGGACACATTTGCTGGCATGGTCCCCGGGGACCAGCCAGGCTCAGTGGAGTGACAGGAAGATAGATTTCTGGTTGGGGGAAAGCTCTCCCTGAAGCGTCAGAGAGGCTGGATGAGGGTCTGGTGCAGCCAGGATTCAGTATCTGATAAGACCTTGAGGTTCTCTTTCAGTCTGAGGATCTAGGCTCGACACTATGGGGTGTGGGGAGGGTCACAGTGGGTGGCCAGTGTTCCCAGGCAAGGACAAGTCCACCAGGGCGAGGGATTCTGGTGGGAGCCTTCTTAGGTGCTCTCTAAGGGGCATCATGGTGCCCTATTGCCAGCAGCTTTTTAAAATATATATATTTATTGATTGATTTTTCACAGAGAGGAAGGGAGAGGGATGGAAAGTTAGAAACATCGATGAGAGAGAAACATCGATCAGCTGCCTCCTGCACACCTCCTACTGGGGATGTGCCCGCAACCAAGGTACATGCCCTTAGCCCCGTGGTCAGCAAACCGCGGCTCGCAAGCCACATGCGGCTCCTATTGTATAACAAATCAATAAATGTGATACACCAATGTTCTTGCCTCCTTTAGTAGAGATTAATTGAGCATAGTGGCTTGGGCCAATATCTGGGTTCTCTGTTCTGTTCCATTGGTCTATATCAGTGGTCGGCAAACTGTGGTCCCTTGAGTGTGGCTCTTCCACAAAATACCACATGCGGGCGCGCACGTACAGTGCGACTGAAACTTCGTGGCCACACTGAAGGGGCCAAAGAGCCGCATGTGGCTCGTGAGCCGCAGTTTGCCAACCACTGCCTTAGCCGAATCGAACCTGGGACCTTTCAGTCCTCAGGCCGACGCTCTATGCACTGAGCCAAACTGGTTAGGGCTTGCCAGCAGCTTTTAGGAGGTTCTGGTAGCCCGGAGGATAAGGACTCCTAACTCACTGGGCAAATGTACATTTGTCCTGTGTGTGTGATGCCGTGTTGGCCTGCTGCTAGCCTTATGCCTGAATCCTCACGGCAACTCTCTGGTGGTTGGATTATTATCCCAAATTGTCAGAGGACGCCATTGAGACTTAGAGAGGTAAAGTGACTTCCTATCAAGGCCATCTGGCACACACGTCCCGGCTCCAGAACCCAAATCCTTAACCACTCCGCCACAGGCAGCAAGCAGCCCCCATCGCTCATCACTGACTTTTCCCCAATGGGCAGGCCGGGTCCCAGGCCTCCTGCACTGGAAACCTTGTGTTCGGGTGCTCCGCTCCTTCTGGGACTGCGTGCCTAGGGGCAGTCTGGCCTCTAGCACCCAGGGCCTCGGGATGTGGTTCCTTCTAGCTGGGTCGTCCTGGCAGCATCTTTGGGGTCTGAACATCTAAAATAGAGAGAAGGCCAGTGTCTGGGGCTCCGTCACCACTCTCCAAGTTAGTGAATCCTCCCGGGGCGTGGGTGGAGGGTTCAATTGATTGGAGTATTGTCCCATACACCAAAAGGTTGTGGGTTCGATTCCTGGTCAGGGCACATACCTAGGTTGCACATACCAGTTGAGGCATGTACGGTAGGCAACCAACTGATGTTTTTCCTTCCCTTCCTCTCTCTCTAAAATCAATAAAGCATATCCTTGGGTGAAGATTAAAAAAAAGAGAGTGAATCCCACACAAAAAATCCCAGCTAGTCCCAGCACTGTCTGATTAATGGTTGGCTGACTGTACTCTACTCTCCAAAGTGGTCTGAACATATCCCCAGGATGCTAGACCCCCGGGCAGAGTATGGAAGCCCAGGGCATCAAGGGAGGGCAAAAGGTACTGGTTCTTCTGAATCATAGAAGAATTACAGCATTGATATGCCAGGCCCAGTGCCAAGAGCTTTATATGAATCATCTCATTCGATCCTCACAACAGCCCTATGAGACTCTTACATTCCCATTTTTGCAAAGAAGGAAGCTGAGGCTTATGAAGTCTTTACCCAAGGTCACATAACTAGGAAGTGATGGAGTCCAGGGCTGTATGTCAGGTTCTGTGTTGTGTGCTATGGCCAGTGCTGGGTCCTCAGAACACTCTAGTACTGGTGACTGTACATTTGAGCTGAATCTTGATACGTGTGTCAAGGCAGAGAAACACAGAGCACAGTTCCAGGCAGTGTGGGTTCTGTGTCCTCGGAGCACAGATTTGGTGAATAACCCTGGGGTTCACACAGAGAGTGAAGTCTCTTCCAGATCTGGCCCCTAAAACTGCTCATGCCAATCTTCTTGCCTTCTCTGTTCTGTTACCTTGAACCTGCCAATTCCCTTCTGCTCCCCCATCCCACCCTATTCATTCTTCAGGCCTCAGTTTCAATGTTAACATCCTCAGAAAAGTTTTTCCCAACCCTACACAAAGGAGCATTTATCATAACTCATTAAATAAGTAATGTCTGGCTTCCCTGCTGGCCTGTCAGCTCCATGAGGGTAGGCCGTGTCTGTCTTGCTCACCGTCATCTCCCTAGCACCTGGCACTACTAGTTGCTCAGTAAATATTTATCTTGAGAATGATTGCATGGGATCCCAGCAGGAAAAACACCCTCTGTAGAAGTGGGAAGGCAGCAGGACTCAGCGGGAAGGTAAAAGTGAGATTCCCCAGAGCCATCCTCAAGCCACCAACCCCTGACTCTGCTTAACCCTTCCTCCTCCCCTGGGTGCCTTTGGAAGCCGACCATCTGGCTTGGAGGCCATTTGCATATTGTCTGGGCCTCGGCAAGCCTAGCAAGATGTCCCTTGGGGGGGGGGGGGGAGGTGAGGCCAGGCCTAGTGGCCCTTGCAGCCTGCTCTGAGTCCCACCTCTCCCCACCCCCAAATCCAGGCATGGGGGAACAATAAGAATGGTGATGTGGTGGCCTCACCATGGTAACAGGTTATCAAGAATGTGGGCAGGCCTGAGGGGTGCAGTGGAGGGAGGGAATGGCCTCAGCAAAGAGGAGCATCATGATAAATGAGCCAGCACCGGCAGCAGACTCACCCCGAGCCCACCCCTCTGGGACTCCAGGATGGTGCTATCACTCTGATGACCCCGACATGACTACTAGCCACCACCACCCCCCGCCCCCCCAGCATCTCCAGAGTGAAATAGAAGCCCCTTCCTTTTACACAACTGGGGCTGTTTCTATATAGGATGCCCAGGTTGTGGAGGTGCAGCTGGTGGCCCTCAGGCCAGGCACTGCCCAGTCCCTCTCAGTGCCTCTGCACACACAGGCAGAACCCTGCCGCCAGGGCTGGCTGATGGATGTGTCAGACTCCGGCGGCTCTATCGAGCGGCCACAAGATGTATGAGCTGGCGGCCCACCAGACAGTGCCAAGATGGAGGCCAAGGGGAAACCTCTGAAGCTCGGGCCTCAGGGGAGCACAGCCGGGCGGCCAAATGGACTGCAGCTCGTTGGAGGCAACGCTCCCCGTCCCCTGCCCACTCCAGGGACCATGAGGACTCCCATCTGCTTTGTTTAAAAGGAATTTTTAAGGTGGCAGTCTCAGTCCGTGGACGCTTTGCCCATGGTCCCGTGCTCTTCTGACATAGGATCCAGGGAAGCTGGCATGGAGAGCAAGCCAGTCGGACCCGTGTGTAGCCTGCCTGCCTCCAGGGAGGGTGGTATGCAGGCCATTGAGAGTGTCTTACAACCCCGAGCAGCGCTGGTCCTGTGTGTGTGACATGCTGCTGGGCCTGCCCTGCCCCAGCAGCCTTTCCCTCACCAACGTGCCAGGACTGACTCTAGGCGCAGAAACCAAGGCATTGCCTGGGCCCTTCTCCAGCTTGGCTGAGACACGGACTCAGGGTGGGGGTGACTAGCCCCAAGCCCTCCACTGGCTTCTCCAACACTAGGTGTCTCTGGGAGAGAAGGAACTTCTGCAGCCTCGGGAGACAGACTGTTGAGGAGTGGTAGCTGAGAGCCGTGGCATCCGGGGAGCTTAGAGAGCCAGGTGTCCGTGTGCCTAGGAAAGGAGAGGTGACCCTGGGGACAGTGGCCCTGCGCCTCCGCATAATGTCCAAAGAGCTAGGTGGCCGTCCCACAGCAACACAGCGGCAGGTGTCAGCGTCCAGGGGAGCAGGAGAGGCCCATTCGGCCCTGAGTCTCTTGCCTCTTCAGGGTGCTGCCCACAGCCCAGGGAGGGGGGGCTCGGTGAAGGGGAGCTGGGGCGCAGTGATTTGTCAGCTCTCTGCTGGTGAAGGATCCTTCTCTCCTTCTGCTGGAGGAAATTAACTGATGGTATCAGCTCAGCAATTGTTTTCCTCCCCTCACAAAGGGAAATATATGCAGACCCCTCCAGGAGCAAAGCGGGATCCTCCCCCCCGGGACTGGCTGGGCAGAGGAAGGTGGAGGGGGCTCTTCAGGCCCTCGCAGAAGCCGGGCTGTGGCAGCTTCAGACCAGTTTCCAGGACTCGTGGACGGGGGCCTGTCTCCCAACCCTGCAGCTGTGACAGTTCCTCCTGCTGCCTGCCTTGAGGCCCCCTTGCCCCTTCAAGCCTTCAGTAAGCGAGGTGACCCTTTCTCTGCAGACCTTCCAGGCAGGTTACTGCCTCTGCTAACCCACTTCCTCCCCTTGGGAATCCACGAGTTCAGGGGCATGACAGCCTGCTCTAAAAGAGCCCGTGTTGCCGAAACCGGTTTGGCTCGGTGGATGGAGCGTCGGCCTACGGACTGAAAGGGCCCGGGGTCAAGGCAGCTGATCGATGTTTCTCTCTCATCGATGTTTCTAGCTCTCTATCTCTCTCCCTTCCTCTCTGTAATAAATCAATAAAATATATTTAAAAGAGCCCGTGTTCCCTTCCTCCTGGTGCAGGCAAGGCACTGGGCAGCAGGAGTCATTTGGGTCTGACAGTGGTTTGTTCTGTGCCTTCCTCTCCAGGGGACATCCGGAACCTCCTTGTCTGGATCAAGAAGAATTTGCTGAAAGAGCGGCCAGAGCTGTTCATCCAGGGAGACAGTGTGTGAGTCCTTCTCCCCTTCCCTGAGGCGCGGGCAGAGGGAAGGGGGTCCGAGCCCCTCGCTGTGTGTCCAGCCACCGCCTTTTCCATTCCTGTTGTCTCCTTTGCCATCCCCTGACCCTCTGAGGAAAGAGCCTGCACTGTTGTTACCACACGATCATTGGGGACTTTTAACACCCAGGTCAGGAGACTGGTCAACTTCTCCCGGTCACCACAGACCTCCTTCTGGTTGCCACAAATTGCTGTGGAACCTTAGGCAAGTTACTTCACTGCTCTGGGCCTTGGCTATACTCTCTGTTCAAAAGTACTGAGGAAAAGAAGCCGCCAGCGTCCCTTTCCTTCCTTGACAGTCTAGAACTTTCTGTGATGATGGACGTGTTCTGTATCTGTGCTGTCCGATGTGGTAGCTGCTGGTCACATGAGCCTATTGAGCCCTGGAAATGTGGCTAGTGTGACTGAGGAACTAAATATTCATTTATTTCTTGGTAATTTAAATTTAAATGTGGCTAATAGATACCATATTGGACGGCAGAGGTCTAGGATTCTAGGGGGTCACTCAGTGCATGTGCACACACACACACACACACACACACACACACATTTGTGCCCACTGAAGACACCTGCTCTCAGCCCACAGCCCCTCTACCTGTGCCAGGCCCAGCTCAGCCTCCTAGGCAAGGAGCCAGGTTCCAAGTGCACAGAAGTCACTTCTGCAACAGGCCAGCCTCAGGGGTAGAAGCGGTGGGCAGGGTACTTATGGGACTCGTTTATCTGCCCTGAAGCAGAGGTCACCAGCAGGTCCTGGGGCATCCAGCCCCTGGCTCAGATCATGGGCCAAGAGTCATGGAGGCCACCCGCAAGGCCAGCAGTACTCCTTGGGCCACTGCCAGCAGGAGCCAGGCAAGGTACCTGTTCAAGCGTCAACCTACCCTGCCTTACACCAGGCAGGGCTGCTGTAGGCTTTCGGGTGCTCGGAGCACTGTTGGCCTCCCTGGCTTGGAAGACCCTTGGAAAAAACATGCAGCTGCCAGTGGGCACCACAGACGCAGGGGAGAAGCACCTCACATCATCCAAGTCCATCTTCGCACAGGCCTCGTGGGGGCGGCGCTGTAATTTGCCCCACGTTCAGCAGAGGAAACGGACACTCCGAGAAACAATGACCTGCTGAGACCTGGGCGGTGGTGCTGGAATTTCCACCTGGCCCCAAGGCTGTGACCGTCTGACCCTGTTTCCATTAGACTCAGACTGTACCTCTCCTTCCTGGGAGATGTTTAACAGGAACATCAGGAGGAAAGGCTCCCACCACACTCTCCTCAGCCCCAGCGTCTAAGCCTCTCTCCTTGCTACTGACTGCCCCCTGCCCTTCCCTCCCTGCTATTCACCACCATCTTTCCCACAGGCGGCCAGGGATTCTGGTGCTGATTAACGATGCAGATTGGGAACTGCTGGTCAGTACCTCGGGGACATCCCTCCCCCACCCCTTCCCCTCACTGCTTTAGTGGGCAAGCCGGGGGGCCTTTCATGAGGCCCAAATAGGGTGATGGAAGAATCCTCTGTCCCATTCTGGCCTCCAAACTGAGGCTACTCCAGTCTCCCACCCCGAGAGAGGAAGAAAAGGGTAGCTGGGGGAAGTGGTGAGCTGTCCTCCATCCTGGACATTTGCAAGTTAAAATACAGGGTACCTGGTTTTCTGGTACATTCTATCTTTCCCAAAACAACCAGCTGTGCGCGTGAGCACACACCCCCTCCCCCTGGCTCTCCCGACACCTGGGGAGAAACTGGGAAAGTGGCCCTGATGGTCTCCTCATTTCTCTCCTGGACCAGGGTGAGCTGGACTACCAGCTTCAGGACCAGGACAGCGTCCTCTTCATATCCACTCTGCATGGTGGCTAAGGACCCCTCTCTGCCTGGGCCCCGGAGTGGGGAGAAGAGAACACTCAGACATGCCCTTGGACCCTGCTTCCAGACCTCCCTGTCCCTCTTCGTTGCTTTCTTCCCTGATCTGTCCCCTGGGTTTCCTCCATGCAGGGAAAAGAGGCCAGGTGCTAAAATGAGCCTTTCGCAGGCAGGCACGTGAGCAGGGGCAGGCAGGCAGGCAGGTGCCTGAGCCCAGCACTCCCTCTCCCAGCAGCTGAGGTGGGGGAGGGTGCCCCTCTGGTTTGACAAGAGTAGAGAGGGGCTCTGGGGCCAGGTGACCCAGCTGCCTTCCACTCCTATGTCTCAGTCTAAACACTGAGTGACCACTGACAAGGCGCTCCAGCTCCAGGTCACAGTGTCTTCATGGGGAAGATGAATGGCCTTGAATAGCTGATGAGAGGCCCCTCCCTTCTCAAACATTGAAGGAGTCCCCGCCTCAGTTTCCCCATCTGGACAGCAGAGGGCCCTGCCTGTCCCCCACCGATATCATTATGGGACCCCAGCTGGGGTCCCCTATTTAGAGCTAACCCCCCCCCCCCCCACCCAGCAGCTGCTCTTCCAACCACACCCCTCCTTCTGCTCCCCCCCATCCACAGCCCTTGACCCTGGCTGGCCCTCCTCCCCCCTCCCCACAGGCCACCAGATGGGCTCCTGAGACCCTCCCCCAGCAAAGGCTGCCTGCAGCTCATTCTGGGGAGGAGGGAGTAGGCTTAACCTTGGACTAGCAAATAGGGGCCTGAAAGGGTCAGCGTGCCTCAGTTTCCTCCTCAACAACAACTGAATAATTATAGTATCAGAAAACAGGGCTGATACCGATGCCACAAACGTAGACTTTATCTCCCTTCCCACCGCCTGCAAGAAGCAGGATGGGGGCAGGCAGCACCTGGTAGGCAGGGTGGCTCTCCCCTCCTCCCTCCATCCCTCTGGAAGTCCTGGGGCCTCAGTGCCTGCAACAGCTGGCCTTGGGCAAATAAAAGACTAAGTTGTTTACTAGCCTTGCCTGGAGCTTTATCCGTAGAAACCAATGGCACCCCACAATCACTCAGCCATAGTCTCTGGTCCAACCTCTCGGCCCCACCCAGGGCTTTCAGAGCTGCCCTTCACCCGAAAAGGGGGCAGGGGTTAAAACCCAGACTACCCAGCCTGTCTTGCAGGGGGCGACCTGACAGGCCATCTGGAGAAGGGGTGGCAGAGCTAGTCTGTGCTGACCAGTCTGGGCCCCAGGAAACACGCTTCCTCACATGTCTGTCTGAGGCCAGGCTTTGTCCCACCAGCTGTAGCCAGCAGCCCCAGAACCCAGAATGGGGGGTGGCATAGATAAGACTGCTGAGCCCCTCCTTCACAAGACCTGGAGAAAAGCTTTGGTTGCTGGAGGGAGATCTTTTTTTTTTTTTTTAATATATTTTTTATTGATTTTTTACAGAGAGGAAAGGAGAGAGATAGAGAGTTAGAAACATCGATGAGAGAGAAACATCGATCAGCCGCCTCCTGCACATCTCCTACTGGGGATGTGCCCGCAACCCAGGTACATGCCCTTGACCGGAATCGAACCTGAGACCTTTCAGTCCGCAGGCCGACGCTCTATCCACTGAGCCAAACCGGTTTCGGCGAGGGAGATCTTAATAAATTAATAAATAAATAAATAAATAAATATTAGAGCAGTAACATCATCCTGCCCCAAACATTAAATGCAATGATTTATGGTGAACTCTCTTTCACTCTATGAGGATGAAATGCCAATTGGTTGTCCCAGCAGTGTGCTGGAATTGTGGGGGATGTGCTTGCATCATTCTCAAGGCATAAGGGACCCACGCCCCCCTCCACTCTGCAGGTGGGGGGCCTCTGGACCTGTGTGGGTGGAGGCAGCCATATTGGGGTTATTGGTAGGAGCTGGTCTGGGTGCACATGAAGGCCAGTGTTGGGGTCCAAAGTGCTGTCTAGAGAGGCTGTTCAACAGCCCACACTAGGTGCTGATGTCAGGGTCTCCATGGTAGGGAGCAGGGCAAGGGACTTGAAATGGCCCCCCACAGCCTCAACTTTAGAGGATCAGTCTGACCCCTGACCCCTGTAACCTGGACGCCTTTCCCTGCCTCCAGCCCCACTGGAGTGTCCGTTGTCCCACCCAAGATTCCAAGTCCTGGAAGCTGGGTGAGGATTCCTCTCACCTTTGTTGGCTGAGGGGGGTCGATATGGGATATCCCTTCCTCCACTGCACCCCATGAGTGGTGAGGAAGAGGAGTAAGGCAGAAGGACCCCTCGGAGGGAGGCAGGGAGGGATGCCAGCTCCGAGCCAGGGTCCACAGCATTTTGGGTCAATTTCAGCCCTGCCCCAGGGGTCAGGTTACCTGACCTCAGCCCCAGTCGTGCCCAACTGCCTCTTTCCCCAGGCGTCTCCTGACTCCCACTTGTGAGGAAATAAACGAATAAGCCCCACTATCTCCGAAGATTTGTCTTTAATGAAAAGGATTCGTTTACCCAAGTTCCGTTCCCAAAGCCCAGGCAATTGCCGGGCTGGGACGCATCACTCCCCACACTTCACTCCGCAGCGGCAGGAGGAGCTCAGCCCACCGGTCCCTCTGGAGGGCCTGGCGGGAGGGGTCGGTTTATTGGGGACTTAGGGATCGGTTGAGACTTTTTGTATTGGGATATTGGTGGGGGATAGGTGAGAACCAGTTCAAAACGAGTTAGCGCATTCTGCCGGCATCAGCGTCTTCTTTCGCGCCGACTTCCTGCGGCCGGCCCGCCAACAACGGGCTCCCGGGACCACGTTCGTCCCACTGCCGCGTGCCAGCTTCATTCCGGCCGGAATTTGAAAAAGGGGAAACGACGCGATCGGTTGGAGGACCCCCTCAGCCAGGACTGGTCACCCGCAGAGGAGAAGGAGGACGACACGGATGAGGATGGCGGCGCTGGCGGCAGGGACCGGCATCCCTCCTTGGCGGCG